AGGGGACCAGGAGGTAAACTTAGCACAGAAGCCAGGAGTCCTGGGATCTGGCCGCCCCACCTGTGCCATAGAGCCCACCTCCCAGGCTTAAAAAAGAATCTAATAATTCCACGATGCCCCCCCCAGTGCATGCCGGGTGCCAACAGGGGTCCAGCGTAAGGGAGCCGTCTAAACAGGCTACCCCACACCCAGCCGAAGACCTAAGGGCTCTGCCTGGGCCACAGCCCACACATTTCCCACCCTACTCTGCTGGGTCTCGCTAGGCTTCCTGTGAAGAGCTCTTGCCTGTCCCTGAGCAGCCATCGATGAAACCCAACACAAACCCAGAATGTTGCCCAATGCTCATGGTTTGCCCAAAGGCACCGTTCAGGCCAGCTGCGCCCAGCCCAACGAATGCCCTCCCCTCCAAAATGCTGACACCCGTGGTTCTCCAGGACGGACCAGCAAACACCCAGGAGGGCCTCTCAGGGTTCAGCCAGCCCCCAAGACCCAGGCTTCTCAGGGGAGACCTGACAGCCCTAGGATGTATTCATGCATTCACGCACACGCACCACACGCTACACGCACCAATCCCGGTTGCGCCACTGCTGCCCCTTGGAGGGGCTCACCTCCACAGGGGCCTTAGCTTCCGCGTCCACAAGACGGGGCGATAATACACATTGTAAAGGGTTGGGATTAAATAAGAATATAGAAAAGCACTGAGCGCGAGATAGCAGGCTCTCCTAATTGTATCGACAGCTAACTTTCCTCAGGCACTTTCATCGCAAAGCACTTTCACACATCCATTATGAAATGAATACGCAAATGACAGAATGAGGACAGGGAGGACAGGGAGAACAGGTATTATGGTGTCCGCTTTACAGATGAGGACAACAAGCCTTGGAAGGACAGTGACTCACCCCAGATTACGAAGTGAATTAGTGGCAGAGTTGAGAATCAGTCCTGGGGCTCTACTTAATCCAGAGCTGTTTCGGGCCTGCCAAACGGTATGGGGTGCAGATTATACAGAAACGTGAACTAAAATCCAAGTAAAACATATGTGAAGACAGACACAGGACCAAAGCTGAGAGTAACAGTCATGGCTAAAGAACGATGGCCCATGCCTAGTTGGTCTAGGCTACCTGTGACAGGCAAGTCACTTTCAAACCGGGGCGAGGAACTTGGGACGTGGGTGTCTTCAGGTGCTTCCCCCAAGAGATTACTCATCTCTTCACTGAGGGAGGCCTGTAAGTGCCTCACCTTGTCAGCATCTCTGTGATACTCCAGGTGGGGGTAGGGACACAGAGGGGGACAATAAAACCTTCAGGTCCCAGTTGAGGTCCACGAAGGACACAAAATCCACATGTCACAGATCATGAACCTTACTCATAGGCAAGACTCTTACTCAGCCTAAAACTCTTGGTTTAGAAATAATTCTGACCAATCTGATCAGTTTCTTAGTACTGCTAGAGAAAAGTAACAAATTAGAACTGAACAGCAAAACTGCTTGCTACCCCCAGACACACAAATGTCACTTCTGGCTGCTCTCAGACAGGGAAGGACGAAGGCAAAAGATCAGACCAGAACTCAAAACAGGGCGACCTGGGGGGACCGGGCACAGGGGCAAAGTACTCCTCAGAGCACAGTAAACCCAGGAGACAATACTGTGACCAAGCACAACCATGAGGACAATGACCCTGGCATCTAGAGGAGATTAAATCATGCCTAGCATTTTTTTGTTGATAAAGGAAGGGACATAAATATTTCATCAAGTCCTGCTGAAGTAAGAGTACTTTTTAGGGTAACACGGATTCAGCTCGCCGAAAAAACCTGGATACCATGGACACCTCATTCCCAAGGGATTTCAATAATACAAAATTCTGTTACAACAGAAAAAATTCCTCTATAAAATACTGCAGAAGTCAAGCTTTTCATTAATTCTTTCCTGGCCCGTCTCCGTCCTTACCCCTCTCCCCACCAATCTGCGCTAATGAGGTTTTGTTGGACCCCATCCTGAGCCACAGGTAGAGACTTAAACTGGCTCCACCCTCCCTGTGGAGATGAAGCCAGGGGTGACATCACTTCTACAAGGCTCTGAGCCTAAGCGGAGGCAGCTAGTGCCTCTCCCCCACCCACTCTGCCAGGCCACGGGGAAATGTCTCCACTAGTCCTCATAATTAAGGCAAAAGGGATTTTATGCCTTTCAATAAAGAGACAAGAGAAAGAGAGAAAAACAGCAAATAACTATTCCAGAACAAGCAAATTTTTCTTATATGGCAGAGACAAAGGCCACAGGAAACACACAGATACACACACAGAGAGAAATCTTTTTAGACAAACCTGTTTTCCTCTCTTGGGAGCGGTTTTGAGCAAGCTCCGGCCCTAGCAGCCTCCCCTGCCCATTCAGAGTCAGGCGCCCAAGAGTCACTCCCTACCTGGCTGGTGCCCAGGGGAGTTCTGACCTGCTTCCCACTGGGGCCAAGGTGAACCTTTGGACAGGCCAGATGTCTGCCACCTGTGGGCACCTTCTCCCGTTTTAAGCAAATCCCAGCTGCCTTATTTCTTTTAGGGAAGGGGTAAAGGAGGGCTCTGGGAAGGCACTTTATGCCATGTTATGCTCCACCAATCCCCCTTAGGCAAACACGGGCCTTCACTGTAAGAGGGAGAGGGCAGGGCTGGGAAAGAGAAACAAACTAGACTTTATAAAATTAGAAAAAGAAAAGAGAGCGCCTAAGCTCCAAACCGTAGTCTGACCCCAAAGCTCAGCTGGAGCATCCCCTCCTCTGGAAGGCCTCCCTCCCTCCTTTCCCCCTGTAGACTCTCCCGCCTCTTGGGCCTTGTGTCTCCATAAAATGTCAACGTTTCTGGGCAAGAAATAATCCTTCATCTTGTAGCATCTGCCCCTCCCCAACCCACAGAAAACTCCAGGAAATTCAGTTCATAGAGAATCCCAAACTCCATCTGCCTCCCCACGGTTAAGGGGCCCTGGGGCATCCCAGCTCACAGGAATGTCTGCCTCACCCAAGGCAGGCAAAGGACCCACCAGCCCTGCTGATTCCTGCTGGCAATAGGTGGAGTGCCCCACCCTGGCATCCCCTGCTCAGGCCCCATCTTGGGCCTGCAGAGAGCAGAGCAGGGAGGTGATGCCAGGCGGGGCAGGGAGGTAAGCCAAGCGCTCCACTGTCTCCTCCAGATTCCTAACTGCAATTCCAGGCGCGATCTGAGTCCCGCAGAAACCACAACCCTAAAGAGCAACTTCTGGGACTTGAAAGCCAGGAGTGCACTAGAGACCCGGCTCGGAAATCATCTCCCTCCCGGTGGCTCTCCAGATACGGCACCCCACACACTCCAACTCACTAGCAATTCAACAGGCAGCGGGGACCTCTCCTGGACTTCAAATGTTTGGAAGTCCAGGTCACTTGGGAAGCAGAGAAGGCACTTTACATTTTAGCCTCAAAAACCACAGTACCTCCCTCCCCTCACGTGAGCCAGGCCCCCATAAAATACCCCAAAGCTCTAGCTAACTGGTAGCTACCATTATAGTGGGCAGCTCTCACAGCAGGTAACTTGTCCGGATGTCACATTAGGAGTGAGGGGACCCGCGTGCCCACCCCCACTCCCGGCGACGCTCCTTCCCTGCCCAAGCGCCTCCTTTTGCCAGAGCTGGGGAAGTCGAGCTGTCCAGATGTGGTGGCGAGACCGCCACTTCCGGAAGGGGAAGAGTCCCCGGCTCCGCACCTCCCCTCTGCATCCCCGGGGACCGCTGAGCGGCCCGCCGGGAGGACCTCTGGGACTCCAGCGCCGGGTGCGGGAGCTGGGGGGTGAACGTGGGCACCGGGCGGCCGGCGCTGACACCTGGCGGCGGCCCAGGTCCCAGACCCCGTCAGAGGGGCCGGCGCTGCGGGGCGGTTCCCAGGAAAGGGTTACAGGGGCCGAGAACAAAGCGCCCCCATTGGGGAAGGCGGGCTAGCGGACGGCGGTTGCGGCGGGAGATTCACTTTCTGGGGACCCTCAAGCAGCTCTTTTTCGGCCACGTCCTTCTTTAAAGGAGAATGACCCCTGCTTAAAGTGGATGCTGTATGCTACCCAAAGGCCTCCCCCGGCCTCGAGCTCCACATTTGTCCCTTTCTCCCCAGCTCTCCTGGGCGGGCCAAGGGACCCGCCTTCCCTCCGCGCGGCTTCAGCACAAAGCCGAGCCGGGGAAGGGGAGGCCATTCCCGGGTCCACTCGCGTGGAAGGCGCCCGTGCGCCTCGGCCGTGCCCGGCACGGGAACGCGCCCTCCGGGGCCAGCTCAACTTCAGTAGCCCAGAAGTTGGGCTCCTCCGGGTCTCTAGCGTTCCGAGGCCAACTTCCCGGAACCTCCTGCTGCCAGCTCGGCCCGGCTCACCTTCAGCAGCCAACTGAAAGCTCGAGGGCCCTGCGGCCGCCCTCCTGCATACCCCACGCAGCCCTGGCCCGGCACCCTGGGCCAACGCGCCCGCCCGCTCCCGCGCGGGCTCCGCTGCGCCCAAACTTGACTCCGTGCAAGGGGCCGGGCGCCCGGGCTCGGCGGCGCTTGGGGCGCAAGCCCGCGGGTCTGGTTTGAATTAGGGTATGCGGGAGGGGCGCTGTGGCCGCGGTCACTGCATCCCCTAGGTCACCGGTGGGGGCCTAGCCGCCGCGGTGGCCAGGGCGAGGGGGGTGGGAGCGGACGACCCCGGGCGCCGCGGCGGGCTGGCGGGCTCCGACACATGTGGAGACGTTTTACATAATTGAGCGCGGGGCCCGAGCGCAGGCTCCGCTCGGCGGGGCGCCCCAGCCCCCTGCCCCGAGCAGCGGGACCCCGGCGGCGCCCACCGACGGCGGAGAGAATTGGGGTGGAGCCCTGGTTTCGGGGCTCACCGTCCCCCGGCCCGCCGGACTAGCGCGGGAAGAAGGGAAGTCCCCGCTACCCCTCCCCCTCCACGTGCCGCTGCCGGCATCGGCCGGTGGCTCGCCCCGGCTTCCCGCCGCCTCCCAGCCCGGCCCGGGCCGCACTCACCGGGAGGGCCGGCTGCAGGCGCAGCGCCAGCACGCAAAACCAGAGGCAGAGCGCCGCGCGCTTCATGCTGCCCGGACAGGCGGCTGGAGCTCGGCGGGCTGCGCGGGTCGGAGCTGCGAGCCGGCTCCGCGGGTCGCGCTGCGCGATGCTCCCTCGGGCGCCTGCCCAGCGTTCTGCTGTCCTAGGCGAGGGCTTCGGGGTGCCCTGGCTGGAGTCCGCTCTCTACTGCCGGATTCCTCTGCCCTCCGATCGGATCCGGCCCGCACCTCTCCCGCCGAGCTCCGCCTTATAATAAACCCACAGGCCCTTAGCCGTTGCAAAAACTAGCCCCCCACCCCCAGCTCCGCCAGGTCTAGAGGCCAGCCCCCGTCCCC